AGGGCGGGGCGTGGCCCGGACAGGCGGCGGAGGGTAAGGCGGGCACCCACGTGGTGGGGCCTGCCCAGCGCCGCCCACCGCGGTGTGCATGGCAGCCAGACCCAGCTCTCTGCGGCCCTCCCCGACAAACTCCGGAGGTGTGGACGGCAAGCCGGCCTCTTCCCCGGAGGCCCTGTCGGGCAGCACCACTCTGATTCCTCCAGGTCAAGGCCCGGCCTGCCCGGCCTGGCACACCCCCCACGCCTCAAACGCCCGTCCGCAGGGCAGGCCCTCCCAAGGCCACCCTGTGCGGGGTGGGCCCCGCACCAGGTGACCAGACCTGCGCCTCCCGCAGGGCGTCGTTCCTCCCTGATGGGGCTGGTCCTGTGACCGACGGCCGGCCGGCCGGCTCTGCTCGTGCGAACCCCTAATCCCGACAACAGCGACGCAGAACGGGTGCCCATGGAGCCTCCGTGTCTGGGCATACAGGAGGCCTCGCACCCAAGACGCCCAGGACACCTGAGCCCACGGGGAGTGGTGACTGGTGTGGCTTGAGGAACACACCAGGTGTGTGCGCGTGCCCAAGATCGAGAGAATGCAGAAGGAGCTGTGGCCACCCCGGGCCGCCTCTCGCTTCCTCTCCCTCATCTCCAGAGGCGCACACCCCACAGCACACGCACACGCACACGCAGACATCAAAATAGCACTTGGTGAGGTTCTATCCCCGACGTTACATACTAAGTCAGGACTGAGCAAACGCAAAAACAAACATGCACAGCCCCTACTTTTATTTTCATTTGAACACACACACATTAAAAAAACACACTCAAAGTGCCCAAACATCTAAAATTAGGACATAAAACGGGCCTATAGGCTGAAAAAGATATTTGAAGCTTCAAAGCAATACCAATGAACCACTGAAAATTATTTTCTTCGAAACACAAAGATGTTCTGTTTTTAATAAAGTATTCAGGTTTAAAAAAGAAAAAAAGGTTTAGGGACAGGGCCAAGGTTCTCACACTAAGGTAGGCCTGGTTTCTCTTCCTTAACGGCCTGTCACGAAGTACGATGCGAGCTGTCGCTGCCCTCACGCCACCCCACCTGCCACCTGCCATCGAGCGGCCAGGGCTGGGGCTACAGCGCATCCAGAATGTGGTCGATCTTGGCGACCAGCTCCTGGCGCTTCCCTGAGATGAGCTTCTCGTTCTCGACGTACGTGTCCCTCTTGAGTTTACCAGCCACCAGCCGCTCGGCCTCCACCGCCGACTTCAGCACCAGCTCCTTCACCTGCACATCCAGCTTCTGCATCTCGCTCACCTGGCCGTGACGGGAGCAGGGCAGAGATCAGGGCAGCTCCCACCCCACCATCTCCAGAGCTCTGCAATAGCTAAGCCCAAATGCGGCAGAGCTCATTGCACCGCAGCAGCGGGGCTGCGGGGGGACAGGCCTGTCTGCAGAGGCCGGCTTCACCACCTTTGAACCCTTTCCATGGGCCCTGACCTTGGCAAGCAAGCCCTGCCACACCTCCGGGCCTCACCTGTACCACAGGGCTGAGGGCTGCGTGAGCAAGCACATGGGACCAGACAGCCTGGCGCTCTGGCACATGCCGAGTGCTCGAGGTTGCCCTCCCTGCAGCTTGCCAGACCAGGTCTAAAGGCCCAATTCACAGCACGGTGTGACGCAGGACTCCGTCATCCCCAGGGAGTCAGGCTGAGGACGTGTAGTCACATTCGCCAGGTATCTGGTGGGCCTCAGGCACCATCCTGGGCCTCAGAAAGACAAGGAATCACGTCCTCGAGGAACTGACGGACATCCAGCTCATGACGTGGAGCGTCACAGAGTGGGAAGTATGGGGCCAGCAGGGGCACGGGGCCTAAGGCACTGCATCCCACAGAGTCCACTGCACAGTTCCAGTCCCAAACCCAGTGGCTTGAAAAACACACCAGGCACCTGCATGTGCCCGAACCCCCAAGGAGAATGGAGGAAGGGTTGCAGCGTGGCTACACCCTGGGGCTGATCTCTCCCTCTCTTGTGCAGGTATGCGCACACCAAGGGATAAAATTGAAAAAGAGTGGGCTGGCAGGTGGCATGGTGGTCAAGGCTCTGGACTCCCATATGGCTGACTGTGGTTTGAGTCCCAGACCTGGAGGCTTGCTTTCTTCCCCCTCTGGTCAAGTTAAAATAAAATAAAGTTAAATAATTCTTTACAGAGAGAGAGAGCGAGAGCGAGAGCGGGCCCTAAACAGCAGCTGACATGGGGAAGGGAGCAATGCCAAGGGGTGGGTGCCAGCACCTCCTACTGCCCTCAAGTGCTGCCCGTGTCAGGGGCTCATGGACACCCCATGTGCCAGGCAGGGCACGAAGCATTCTCATGCACAACCCATTCACACGCACAGCCACTGCTGGACATGGGCAGGCAGCATAGCAGGAGGTACAGTGCCTGGTTTACACAGCGACTCCGAACTGGCTCAAACCCCAGTCCCTCCATGCCCTGCTACTACATGTGAGCAGTGCCTAGTGTGGTCTGGGATGCACAAGAGGAAGCAGCTGCACTGACACCAGCCAAGCTCCCGCCAAACCAGCCCACGGCAAGCCTGGAGCCGAGCTCTCGCACGTAGCATGCAGGCAGAGAACTCTCACCCACAGCACGCAACCAGGCAGGCAGGAGCTCTCTCACCCGCAGCACGCAGCACACAGGCAGGAGGGCTGCCTGGTCTGTCCAGGGCGGGGCACAGGGTGCTCTCCTGACAGCTGACACAATCCCCAGAAGTGGGGTGCAGGAGGCTCAGGCCCAGGGACTTGGGGTGCCCACTCACTCTGTCACACAGGTCGGAGCCCTCTGCCTTCAGCCGGGACTGCAGCAGTGCGATCTCACTGGTCAGGGCCTTGTGCTCCGTCTCTAGGCTCTTCTTGCCGCTGTTAAGGGTGGAGAGGTCCCGCGACTGCTTGTACCTGTTGACAGTCTCGTCAAAGTGACGGTATAGGCCGATCCTCTTGTTGACCATGGTCAGGACCTGCTCTGTGATGCAGGCCACCTTCATCCTAGCTTCCGCAGCCGGGTCCTGGGGGCAGGAGCAACACCGTGAGATGCCACCCAGGCCTGGGCCTACGCTGACTTTCCCTCCCAGAGAACACCCCACCAGCAGCCACCCAACAAGAGAAGCCACCTTCCAGGAAAGCCAGCACCTGCAGGCACCTCTTCTGACCAGGCTGAGCAGACAGGAGGGCATGGGCTACACCATGATGGCACAGAAGGTGCTGAGGAAAGGGAGATCGGATGGCGGCAGGGAAGGCAGCCAGGTTTATTTTGAGTCTCCACCCCTTAAAGGAGCTAGCAGGTGGCATAGCAGTTAAGGCAGCAAGATCCCACGTGATTGATCGCACAGTTCAAGTCCTAGATCCTGCAGCTTAGAAAACACACCAGGTATGTGTGCCGGCCCAAAATCCTGAGAAGAGAACAGAGAAGGGATCGCGGCACGGCCACCCCCTGGGGAGGTGATTCTCACTTTCTCCCCTGCTCGCTCGCGCGCCCTCTCTCTCTCTCTCCCCCTCTCATGCGCACAAATGCACACACCCTGTAACGATAAAGACACTAAAAATAAAACACAGAGCCAGCGGGTGACGTGGTGGTTAGGGTGCTGGATTCCCACATGGGAGACCATGGTTCAAGACCTGGATCCAGTGGCTTGAAAAATCAAAACATATAATAGATAACATTTTAAAATAAAAAAATAAATTAAAAAGATGGAAAAAAAACTGGAATAAAATAGAGAAAAATAAATAAACCTGGCATTTCAGGTGATTTAACAGGAAGAGTAAGAACAAATCCAGTACCTTGGGAACACAGTATGTCGACACATACTGAGTCTCAAGGCAGGGCTGCGGACAAGCCCTGGAGGCCAGCCAGGCGGTGTGAGTTAGGGCGGCTGGACCCCGCATGACTGACTGCATGGTTTGAGTCTCAACCTGGCAGCCTGGAGAACTTGCTGGGTGTGTGCATGGTGCCCACAGTCCCAAGAAGAGAATGTAGGGGAAGGAGCTGAGGTGCAGACTTTCTCTCTCCCCTGCTCTGGTGAGAGCACACCCCCATGGCAAAAGGTGGGGAGGCAGGGCAGAGGGTGGCATGGAGACCCAGGTCCGAGTCCCAGACCTGGGTGCATGTTCCTGTGTGCCCCAAATCTTGGAAGAATGGAGGGGGACTGCAGCACCCTGGGGAATGCTTTCCCACTTTCCCTCCCATTCGTCCCTCTCCGCCAGCGCATGTGCCTCATGGCAAAAACCCGAAAGGAAAAAATACAAAAGAATGAAGCTGGGAACCCACTCAGTGGGTCTGGTGCTGGCAGTGGTAGGTGGCCGTCCCCTCAGCGGGTAACCATGGACATCAACCCCACGTGTGTACTGCCCAGCTGTCTGCCGGGGGACCCTCCACAGCAACGTCACACCCAGACACAGGTTACGGTCTCTAGCACCAGTCCCCACCACAGGGTACGGGGCTCCTCGGAGGAAGTGCCACGCCCCTGCAGGGCCCGAGAATGAGGGCATGATCCAAGAAATGACAGAGACGTGGCAGAGCCAGTCAAGTCCAGGACAATCAGAGCAGCTGAGAGCACCACTGGACAGAAACCCACTGACCAAAGCAACTCATGCACCCAGACGGGGGCCAGACGGCAACCCACGCACCCAAACGGGGGCCAGACGGCAAGAAAAGCTTCAAAGGGGCAGTCATCAGTGTTGTGCTTAAGGTGGCCACATCCCACATGGCCAACTACGTGGTCTGAGTCCCGGACCTGGAGGCTTGAAAAACACACAGGGCACATGCCCATCATCCGGGGCTTAATTTCTCACTCTGTCTCTCTCTGACAGTTCACATGCCCTACTACAAAAAATAAAAATTTAAGAAACATACATTTTTTTAAAAACAAACCTTTTACAACAGAATACAAACTAATAACAGGAATCAGGGTTCTGCAGCTCCTACTGTACAGAGGGATTCGAACAAGAACGAGTATTAAACGCTCGAACTAGCGGGCGAGGTACACGACATTCGCGTAGGCTCGGCTCGTCCAACACGGGGAGACTAGCAGGTTTCCGACAGAGCCCAGGCAGAAAGCAGCTCCGCCCAGGCAGGGAGGCTGGCAGCACCGTAGGGGCCGGACCGGTGGCGGGCCCCACTGACACCACACTTGGCAGCAGCCCTGTCCACTCGGCCAGGAGGAACCTAAACAGACCGACTGAAGCCTGCTGTAGACCTCGTCTCTGCACTGCTAACACCCAGGTCTCTGAGAACACGGGAGGTAGGCGCCAGCACAGTGGCCCAAGTCCAGCCCAGAGGCATGCGGACAGCGCCCAGCAGACCCGCGTGGTCCACAGTGCCACCCGCCAGCTGGGGACTGAGAGCAGGGGTCTCCAACAGGTCATGATGGTCCAGTTGTCTGAGAGGCCCCTGGAGGCAGCCTGGGGAGACACGTTCTGCAGTGACCAGCACGCTGGGTCTCGTGAGAAAACACCCGTGCTCTCAGCCACACGCAGCGTGAGCATCAGGGTAAAGGAGCCGAATGTCTGCAGCTTACCTTCAGATAGCTCCACAACACGCACACGCACACACGCACATGCAAGGGGTCCTCCAGGCATTGATGGAAGATGTGAATTTTGAAAAAACTATACATAGGGGTCAGCAGGAGGCATAGTGGTCAGGTGGTCAGGTCCATATGGTGGACTGTGGTTTAAGTTCTGGACCAAGCAGCTTGCTTTCTCACTTTCTCTCCCTCTCTGTCTCTCTCTGGTCAAATTTAAAAAACATAATGATGATGAATAAAAATCTAATACAATAATTCTTAAAAAAAACAAACAAACATGGATTTCGATTTGTTTGTACCAAAGTGAACTACTACCTTAATCCCATCCCCACAATTCCCCAAGGCCCTCGTGTGTGTCACAGGGTTCCACATGAGCACACCCAGCGTGGCATGCTTTCTTTAGGGTCACTTTATTTAGGGTTAGTTACTTACTGATTTATTTTAATTTAACCAGGGAGGGAGGGAGGGAGGGAGGGAGGGAGAAGGACGGTGAGAAAGCAAGCCGCCAGGTCCAGGGCTGGAACCACAGTAGACCATGTGGGAGTCCAGTGCCTTGAACCACCCTGTCGCCTGCCGGCCCCATGTTTTCATCATCGTTTTATAAGAATTATTTATTTTACTGTATTTATTTTAATTTGGCCAGAAAGGGACAGTGACAGAGACAGAGAGAGAAGGCAGGAAAGCAAGCCGCCAGGTCCAGGACTCGAACTGCGGTTGGCCATGTGGAGTCCAGCGCCCTCTACCACCATGCCACCTGCCACAGCCCAGAGTTTTATTATTTTTGCAAAGTTTTTTTTTTTTTAAGTAAATGTGGCATTATTTCCAAACAAAGTTAAAAAAAAGATGCAAAAGCTTAAAAAGGGGAGAGGTTTTGTTAAAAGCTAGACACCAGATTCAGCCCTTCTGCTCAGCCAGGCTAGCCGAGCTGACCCTCGGGTGGCCAGACAGTCTTCGCTCAGTACCCAGTGCTGCCCCAGCGGGTGCGTGTGCCCGGTCACGTGCCACAGCCCGGCCCCACCCAGCGGGTCCACGTGCCTAGCCACACGCTGCAGCCCGGTGCTCTCTCCAGCCAAACCTCTCCTGCCCGCTGCCCCCAGCAGCACACACTGTGCCTTGTCGGTGTGTGGGCATCCTTCCTCACACACCTCACTGGCAGAGGGCTGCTGGCTGCCCTGGAACCCACCCTCGCCCAGGGCACCACCGCCAGTCCTCAGGAAACGGTAAGGCTGGTGCCGAGAGAACAAGCCATGACGGCAGGTGGAAGGGGTGGGGGCTGCCCAGAGACGCCTGCACTGCGGCCCTGGGAGACCGAGGAGCTGCGGCCATTAGTCAAGAGAGTGAAGGAGGGAAGGAAGCTGCTGACAGGCCGTGTTGGCTGATCCTGCTGCTGTCACCAGGGGGAGCGTGGGACTCGGCAGTGAGGCAGCGAAGGGGCCCACCCCTGTCTGTTCACATCTAGTCTATGTGGTCTAAGCACCCAGTTGCTGGGGTCCCGGAGCCAGGAGGAGATAGAAGGCAGGCACCGAGCAGCTGTGCTGGGCTCACGGCACCAGCTGCACACAGACACCCGACTGGGGACATCAACTCACAGTGCTCCGTCCCGCTGGAACGGCACAGCACGTGCCAAGGGCTGACCCCGCAGCCTCTGAGCCAGAGCCAGGGGCCGGCCTAGGCACACAGCGCAGCTGCCATGCGGCACTCTGGGAGCCTGTGGGGACAGAGGCAGACACGAGCTCTCAGCACTTCTGGCCACAGAGGAGGACATGAGAGCGGGCCAACCAGACCTCTGCAGGAAAGCGGTCATGGCAGGGAGTTTGTGGGCAACAGTGGCCTGCCCCATGCTCGCTGCGCTCCAAGCCTTGGCGCTCAGGCCACTGGCTGGTGGCACGCTCTGGAGGGTGGGAGGGGCCACATACCTTGGTGATGGAGAAGTCGAGCCGCACGTAGACGATGACAGTGAAGAACAAGACGTAGAAGGCAGCCACCACGAGCAGGGGCTCCTGCAGCATGAGCACCTTGTTGAACGTGTAGTGGACCTGGGGCAGAGCGGGGCGCTGGGTGCAGAGGCCACGGCCCTCGCCACCATGTCCCTGCAGCCCCGGGGAGGCCAGCACCTGCTGCCCGGCCAAAGCCCTCGCCACTGCGTCCCTGTAGCCCCAGGGAGGCCAAAGCCTGCTGCCCGGCTGAAGCCCTCGCCACTAGATCCCTGCAGCCCCGGGGAGGCCGGCGCCTGCTGCCTGGCCACAGCCTTCACCAACCCGTCCCTGCAGCCCCGGGGAGGCCGGCGCCTGCTGCCCGGCTGGAGCCCTCACCAACCCGTCCCTGCAGCCCCGGGGAGGCCGGCGCCTGCTGCCTGGCCGCAGCCCTCACCACCACGTCCTGGATGTGCTGCTCCACCAGGTTCTTCTTGTGGGCGACGACCACGGGGCGCCCGAACGTGTCCAGGTAGGTGTAGTGCAGCTCGTTGGGGCCACGGCTGATGTCGTAGGGGCTCTCGACCTGGATGTCCCTGGAGGAGGACGGGGACAGACAGGGCCTCAGACACCACAGCAACAATCCGGGACCAGGCTACAGAATCCACAGCGAAGGGGGCCTGTCCAGTCACTAAGTCCACACCCGCCTGCTCCACTCCCCGTGACCAAGTACCACGGTCACGCCTGGCCAGGGCACACACGCCCCAAGTCCGTGCACACGGCACTCTCGTGTGCCCAAGCTGCAAGTCTTGGGGCACCCGGACGGGCTCTGCCAGTGACCCCACGGCTCCCCCGAGACGGGCTGGAGGATGCCCACTGGTCGGGCTGCAGGCCTACCGCCCACTCACGGCCAGCAGCCCTTCCCCACAGAGCTACCCAAGGCGCCTCTGGTTCTGGAAAGCAGAGTGGACGCATGCCCCAAGACAGGCTCCAGGAGGGTGAGTCTGGAGCAAAAGGGCACAAAGACAGGGTGGCTCCCCTCCCACCGTGGCATGGCGGGTGTTCCACCTGTTCCCACCCACGGCAGTGGCCTCTTCAACTCCTGCTGGCAGTTGCTGAGAGCCCTCCAAACATACCCCCACTGCTCAGGGGCACAGACCTTGCAGGCAAAACCGAGTCCAGACCCAAGGGCACTTCAGAAAGTGCATGGGGACCAGCAGTTGGCGTAATGACTATGTCACTAGATTTCCACGTAGTTGACCACGGTTCAAGACCAGGACCCGGTAGCTTAAACTCACGCCGGGTGCGTGTGCGTGCGTGCCCAAGATCCCGAGAGGAGAATGGAGGAGAAGGGATTGCAGCGTGGCCATCCCCCCCGGGGGGGTGATTTCTCGCTTTCTGTCTCTATGTCTCTGTCTGTCTGGCGAGCGCATGCGCCCTATAGCGAAAACCTCTCCAAAAAAAAAAAAAGAAAGTGCGTGGGAAATGTAAACATCAGTTTATTTCTATGCTTAAGCTTTGAAACCCACGCCGTTTCCTCACACCACACCCATGCCACAAGCCTTCCAAAGGCCCTCCATGCCCTAAGGCCCCCAGAGCCTGGTCTGACACCACTGCTTCCCTACTCAGCTTCCAGAGACCGAGGCCCATGGCAGCTCATGGCTGCATTCCGTCAGATGCAGGCCCACACCCAGCCCGTGAGGGGACTGGGCGGCACCTGTCACGCTGTTTGGGTGGGATGCACACGCACACGGGCCCTCACGAGGTAACTCCACCACACACTCAGGCCCCTGCAGGTCTTGGCTACAGCTACGGCTGGGCGTCCAGAGTACGGGCCCCAGGGTCCACAGAGAGCCGTGAGGGACACGCTGTGCGGACAGCCACACACGCGAGGGATGTGGTGTGGGGACAGATGGCCACATGCGTGAGGGACACACCGTGGGGACAGCCAGCCACATGCGTGAGCAATGTGTGTGGGAGCAGACAGCCACACGTGTGGAGAACACAGTGCGGGGACAGTCGGTCGCATGCGTGGATGACATGTGGAGGGACAGATGGCCACACTCACCTGGCCCCTTCGGGCAGGATGATCTTCACCGTTAGGGAGTCGACCACCTGCTCGTCAAACACGTGGTCCACAAGCCGCATCTTCAGCGCATACTGGTCCCCTGCAGGGCGAGCATGGGGCGTGAGGAAGGGCAGCCGGCCACCAGACAGGCAGGGGGAGCGGCGACCGCAGTTGGCGGCCGAGGAGGCTCTGGGTGGATGGGGGCTGGCAGCACACGCTGTAAGGACCCTCTCCAATCCTGAGGACAGCTGGCCAAAACCTGTGGCCACAATAACAACAGAGCTAGGCAGTGAAGCCGCCCACCGGCCCCACCGCACGGTACGGCAGACACCAGCAGCCAGACCAAACACGCACGGGCACAAGCGAGGGAGAGCAGAAGGGTCCTGACGAGAAACAGGGATGGACAGGGCCCGCCAAGGAGAGGCTCCCCCGCCC